ATTTCAGCCAAAGGAAGTGATCTTTTGATTCTAATTCTTGTCCAGGTGTCACTTCAGACTTTTTGTCATGTAATTAAGATAAAGGCCACTGAACAAATGAAGTGAATGTCAAAACACATAAGAACAAAATGTGTCTTATAGTGTCTGTGTTCTCCAGCGGGATTCCGGGTACATAGTGTTTTACATTATTTTCAATGCCTTCTGATATGTTGGATATATCTCAAAATAACAAAAATAAAATGAAAAGACATGACTTCCCAGCATTTATTTATTTCCTTCTTCTGTGGCTCTTCTGACTACTATTACCTCCACCCCGGGGTACAGTGTGTGTCCCTGGGATTGGAGAACCATTTTGGGTGTGGGCAGTTAGAAGGAAGGAGGGTTGGAAAAGGTTGACCTATGGGTACTCAGTTATAGTTAGGTACGAGAAAGAACTTCTGTCGTTTTATTGCACAGTGACAATGTACTATATTTAATTAAAAAAAAACTCCAAAGAATTTTTTAATGTTTTCTGCACAACTGACAAATGTTTGAGGAGACGGGTTTACCTTGACTCGAATATCATACATTATGTTCATTTATCCAAACGTTACATGGAACCCAATAAATTCATACCATTTCATGCATCCGTTAAAATTTTTATTTTGCTTTATTTTATTCACTTAATGGTAATTTTTTTGGGGTAAAAGGAAGCACGACTTCATTAAAAACATGTATCATTCATAAAACACATACTAATTTCAGCATAAGAAAAAGCATGTACCTTAGACTTGAGATGTGACACTATGGTGATTGACCTTAATTGTCGAGTGTCAGGAAAACTCAAACTCCATTCACACGTGGGAGATGAAGTGGCAGTGGGATCCTTCCTCTTCAGCCTAAGCAAGAGCCTAGTGATTTCCACTTGAGTTGTCCATTTTTTTCTCCCTTCCTCCCATTTCTCTCAAACCCAAATAACCCCCCCCAAATTAGCCACCATGAAGCAGTGGTCTGTCAAGAGTGGAGACTCTGATTTCAGCCCACCTGGTTCTTGAGGAGTAGATCAGCACAATGGTGAGGAGCTGAGACTGGCCATTGCCCCAAAGTGTTCTGTGACCCTGAGCTGGCCACTCACCAATCTGTGATTCAATGGTTTCATCTTCCTCTGTCAAATGGGGATTATAATAGCACTCACTCACAGGATTGCAAAAAGGATTAAATTAGTAAAATAAAAAAAATAGCTTATAAAAATGCTTTATCAGGGTCTGGGGTTGTGGCTCAGTGGTAGAGCGCTTGCCTAGCGTGTGTGAGGCACTAGGTTTGATTCTCAGCACCACATATAAATAAATAAAATAAAGACCCATTGACAACTAAAAAATAATATTTAAAAAAGAGTCTTTTAAAATGCTTTATCAAAGTTGACTAATTATTAATTCTAATTGCATGACATTGGGAAAGGTTTTTAGAAAATTATTTCGTCTCTTTAAGCCTTGGTTTTCTCATTTATAACGTAAGTATAATAATATTGTTTACTTTATAAAGCTAGGGGGAATTCAAAGAAGTATTAGATGTAATGTGCTTAGTAAGATGTTGGGCACAATCTTAGAAAAGGCAGTGATTATTTTCATCATGTATAGCAATGCCAGGAAGTGGTCTGCCTGTGTCTCACACCTGTGGCCTGGGGATATAGCTCAGTGGTAGAACACTTGCCTTGCATCTGCAAGGCCCTGGTTACAATTCCTAATACTGGAAAAACAGAATAAAAAACCCCATGTGTCTCGTACATGCATATATCTCTGCTTGTCCAGTTTCTGTCCTCATAAGTCAACTTAAATTTCAATTTAATCTAGATGATTCTGTTAATTCCTGCTCTGGAATCTAGAACGTTTGCTATCATTGATTGAGTCCCATGCAGGTCCTTTTGAAAAAAATCATCCCATTTAATCTTTTCTTTTTTTTTAAAGAGAGAGAAAGAAAGAGAGAATTTTTTAATATTTACTTTTCAGTTTTCAGTGGACACAACATCTTTATTTTATTTTTATGTGGTGCTGAGGATTGAACCCAGCGCCCCGCAAATGCCTGCTTGAGCCACATCCCCAGCCCACCCATTTAATCTTTATGATTTTTTCAAGGTTCATACTATTAATATATGATACTATCTGCAAAGACAGACAGTTTTTAGCTCTTTCTTTCCAATCTGGATGCCTTTTATTTTATCTTATTACATAATTGTCATGGCTAGAATCTTCAGTATCATGTTGGATAGAAATGGTAAGAACAGATATTCTTTAATTCCTGATCTTAAGAGAAAGCATCCAGTCTTCTATTGAATATGATGCTAGCAATTGGTTTTTCTTAGATGTTTTTCTCAGTCTGATGAAGTTCCTTTCAATTCCTAGTTTATTATTATTATTATTATTATTATTATTATTATTATAATATTATTATTGTACCGGAGATTGAATTCAGGGACACTCAACCACTGAGCCACAACCCTAGCCCTATTTTGTATTTTATTTAGAGACACGGTCTCACTGAGTTGCTTAGCACCTTGTTTTTGCTGAGACTGGCTTTGAACTCTCAATCCTCCTGCTTCAGCCTCCCTAGCTGCTGGTATTACAGGTGTGCACCACCCAGCCCTGCCTATTGAGTATTTTTATGATGAATTTTGTCAAATGCTTTTTTTCTGCATTATTCAAGATCATCATGCAGTTTTTGCTTATTCAGTTTATATGATATTTTATGATAATATATCTTCAGATGGTAAACAAACCTTGAAATACTAGGATGAATTCCAGTTTCAACATCACATATAATTCTTTTTATGTTTCTACTTTCAACTTGCTGGTATTTTGATGAGAATTTCTGCATCTATTTCATGTGATATACCGGTTTATAGTGTTCTTATAATGTCTTTGATTTTATCGGCCTCATAGGAAGAGTTAAGAAGTATTCCTTCCTCTTCCCTTTTAGGGGAATAGTTTACGAAAAACTGGAGTTAATTTTTTGCTAAACATTTTATAGAATTCACGAGTGAAGACAGCTGTGCCTGGACATTTCACAGAAGGTAACTTTTTAATTACTAATTAAGTCTCTTATCATAGGTCTATTCAGATTTTCTATTTCTTCTTGAATATATTTTAGTAGTTTGTGTTTCTTTAAGAATTTGTCCATTTCATCTTACTTATCTAATTTATTGAAACAATTGCTTAAACTATTCCTTTATAATCCTTTTTCCTAAGATTGGAAGTAATGTCCTTGTTTCATTTTTGATTATCATTTTGTATCTTTGAATCAAAAATGTTTTCCCACTTGACAGTATATAATTGGGTTTTTAAAATATTGTTTGATTATCTCTACATTTTGGTTGGGGTTATTTAATCCATTAACATTTAATATTATTATTACTATAGTCCAAATTACACCTGCCATTTTTCTTTTATGTCTCATGTCTTTTTATTCCTCTGTCATGCTTTTTCATTTAAGTAAATATTTCATAATGTACCTTTTTAATTAAAAAAATATTTTTTTAGTTATAGCTGGGTCCAATACCTTTATTTTGTTTATTTTATGTGGTGCTGAGGATCAAACCCAGTGCCTCGCACATGCTGGGCAAGCGCTCTATCACTGAGTCACAACCCCAGCTCCATAATGTACCCTTTTTACTTCTTTTTATTTTGGGCATGCTTTGGGATTGAATTTAGAGTCTCATGTATGCTAAGCACATCCTCTACCACTGAGCTACGCCCTCAGCAGTCCATTTTATTAATGACTGATTACATTCTTTTGGTTGTTTCCTTGGTGGTTGCTCTAGGACTTACAATATACATCTTGACTTATGAGAATTAGCTTCATATTTGTGTTAATTAAATCCCATTAGATCTAGAAATGTTATATCTATGTAGCTCTATTCCCCTTTATTGCTTTCTGTAGTATGATATTATATCTATAAAGATACATATTTTATCCATAAATGTACAAATTCAACAATATATTACTATAAAATTATATAATTATATCGTTAAAGAAGCTGAGAGAGGAAAAGAGGACAAGTATTTACTTTTTTATATTAATCTTACTTTTTTATCATTGCTGGTTCTTTTCATTTGCTCTGTAACTTTCAGTAGCTATCTGGAGTCAGTTTCATAGTCCAATACAGTTTTGTTCTCACCCACATCCTTTGGGATGTTATCAGCCAAGATGTTACATTTTTTATAAGTCCAACAATATGATTTTAACAATATTATCTATTATAATTGATTTTTATACAAGTGAATGGAAAGGGGAATAAATATGCATTTATATTGTCATATAAATACATAATTAAAAAATTTTTTCCATCTGATTTTATTTCCAAATACATTTTCTTACTTTTCTGTGAGATGACAAATATCAGTATCAGGAAATCCAACTATACAAAAAATACTACGCATAGTCTGGGATAGATATATTTATTTTTGATAACATACATTAAGTGGCACTAATCACACAGTAACCATAAGGTAACTAACATGAAACCACAGAACTGTAACTCTGCCACAGCTGCATGGACTTGGGACTTTCTGGCTGAGGACATTTTCAAGAAACTGGGTGCCCACCCCAGACATAGGCCAATGAAATCTGCTGAGGAGAGAAACCTCCAAAGGGAATGAGTCACCAGAGTTCTTCACAGGGGACAGGTGATAGGCAAGACATGTGAGTTGTAAAGTAGTTACAGTCACAAAAGTTGCCAGTTCTTCTTTCTAGAAAGAAGCAAGACCTTTAAGAAATTCCTTGAATTAGTGCCTGGTGTGTCAGGTGGAGTGCAGAGAGGGCGGTTAGAGCAGCGGTTAGAAGGACCCTGGCAGGTCAGACGTTAGGTTGGATATCCTTAATAATCACGGTTGGCTTCTAAATACTGATTTGTAATCCGAGGTAAATTAGAGATAAATGGAAAAGGTCAGGAATCATGCATGAAGATGAATAAACAGCACTGGGAAATCAACCGCCTGAGGGCGTGCTTGCAGCGATGCAGCGAGACTTCACAAGACAAGGCACCCAGATTTTTTCTTCCCGAGTCGGACTTGCAGAGCAGCTCTGGTGGCCATCACAAAAACCTCCCTCACTCCGTCTTTGGTCTTTGCGGAACACTCCAGGTACCCGAAGGCGCGGATCCTGTTGGCCATGTCTCTGCCTTCTTCGGGTTTCACGGGCTCCTGCTTCATCTTAGCCAACTCCCTCCGCGTGTGCTCATCCTTGCGAAGATCCTTCTTATTCCCAATCAAGATAATGGGTACGCTGGGGCAGAAGTGCTTGACTTCTGGGGTCCATTTTTCTGAGATGTTTTCCAGACTCTCAGGGCTGTCGATGGCGAAACACATCAGGATAACGTCGGTGTCCGGGTAGGAGAGGGGCCTCAGGCGGTCGTAGTCTTCCTGCCCCGCCGTGTCCCACAGAGCCAACTCCACCTGCTTCCCGTCCACTTCGATGTCCGCCACGTAGTTCTCAAACACCGTGGGCATATAGGCTTCTGGGAACTGGTCCTTGCTGAACACTATGAGCAAGCATGTCTTGCCACATGCTCCATCCCCAACGATCACCAGCTTCTTCCTGAGGGCAGCCATGGTCCTGGGGGGAACCCGGGGTGTTAAAGGACTCTCTTGCTTCTGTTGTTCTCCATTTCGGGGTCTGGGGGAGTTGGACGACCTTCCTGGGTCTTGGCCACTTATCCTCTTTGCATCCCCATCATCATGCGTCCAGTTCAAATTCTCAGGAATGCTTTTTTTTTTTTTTTACAAACGTGCTGCAAAGTGCACGGCCTGTGTGACAGAAGTTGTACAAAGTACCTTGAACTTTCCTGATGAAACGTTCAGAGGACTCTGTGCAGCCGCCGAGATCGCCTGTCGGAGGAGAGTCGCCCAGCCAGAGACTGAAGGCGGGTAGCTCCGGAGGCAACAGCGTAATAACGGAGAGCGGCCGGCAGGGAGCGCGAGCGAGCAGGGCCGGTGGGCAGAGGAGGGCGGGAGGGCGGGGAGCGCTGCGCGCGTCCCGGACGCCAGGGGGGGCTCGAGCCCCATAGGGATGTTTAGTAATTAGTTTTTAATACACCTTTATACCACAATTTAGCAAATCTCTGTTTGTATATAAGGTATGTTGACACCAAATTCACATCTTCATACATGAATTTTGTATAATGATGACCGAGCTTCCACTAAGAATTGCAATGCAAAAAAAAATTATGAATGTAATGCACTCCTCTATTGTGATGTATGTAAGAAATGAATAAATAAATAAATAAATAAAATCAGATGAATCTTAGCTAACAATAAAAAAAAGTAATTAGTTTTTAGCCCTTAGGTTTTTTTGTGTGTATTAGAATGATGGTGCCTTGCTTTCAGCTTGAGGTCTTAAGTATTTCTTGTAAAGTAGGTCTGCTAGCAATGTGTTTTCTAAGTTTTTGTAAGAGAATGGCTTGGTTTTGCTTTGTTGAGGATAAGATTCTTATTCTCCCTCCCCCATTTCTTTTGGCTTCTTTTTCAAATTTATGTTTTGATTGACAAAATAGTGTATATCTATGTTGTGCAACATGTATGCTCTGTGGAATGGGAAAATTAAACTAATTAGGACATGCATTACCTCATAGGCTTACATTTTTTTTAATGGTGAGAATGCTTAAAATCTGCTTTTAAAAGGAACTTGTAAGAATACAGTACATTCATGTTATCTGTAGTCATCATATTGTAAATAGTTCTCTTCAATTGATTCCTCCTAACTGAAGGTTTGTGTTCTTCAACATCTCCCCAAGTCCCCCTCCAGTGTCCCAAGCTCCTGAACCACCCTTCAACTCTTTAATTCTATGAGTTCAATTTCAGTAGATTGTTCAATTCCACGTATAAGTGAGATTATATATTTGACTTCCTGTGCCTGGTTTATTTCATTTGACTCTCCATTTTGATCTGTGTTGTAGTAGATGACAACATTTCCTTCATTTTTAGGGTATTATGTATACTATGCATGCATACTAGATCATTTTTTATGAGAATTCTGCTATAATCTTGTATGGGTCCTTTTCCAGGTATGGTTTCAACATTTCCTCCTTGTTCTTGGATTTCAGCATTTTATTAAAAACGTGTCTGTTGTGGTTGTTCTCTTTGTATTTACTCTCCTTGAAGCATCTGAGCTTCTTGAATGTGTAGGTTAATGTTTTTTCTTTGGAGAGTTTTCAGCCATCACTACTTCCCATATTTTTCTGTCTTCTCCTCTGCCATTACCATTGCATGTATGTCAATGTGTTTAATGCATTCCATATATCTCTGAGGCTTTGTTCACTTTCTTAAATTCTTTCTTTTTTCTGTTCTTTGGCTTACATAATCTTTATTGATCTACCTTCAAATTTGCTTATTCTTTCTTCTCCTTGCCCATATCTATTGTTGAGCCCTCTAGTTAAATTTTCATTTCTGTTATTATTCTTTTCAGCTCTAGCATTTTCATTTTGTTCACTGTTGAGACTCCTATCTATTTATTGATAGTCTCTGTTTGATGAGGCATTACCAACATACTCTCTTCAGTCATGCTTTCCTTTAGTTATTCTAACATATTTACAATGGGTTCTTTGAAGTCTCTCTCTGTTAGATCTCACATCTGGACACTCTCACAGGCAGGCTGTATTTTTTTTTCTTTTTAAATGTGTATGAACCAGAGATTTGGTTTCTTTACATGTCTCATAATATTTATCCTGGAAACTAGATATTTGGGTAATATGTTGTAGCAACTCTGCTTCTTACTGGTTCCTCCTCAATCTGGTGTGTATTACAGACATTGCTCATTTATTTATTTAGTGACTGGCTGGATTATTTGAGGTCAGTCTAGTAGGTATTCCTCACAGTATGAAGCCTGGGATATTGCTCATCAGGGGTGCCAACCTGGGTATGCCCACATCACTGTGAGATGACAGTGCTTTGGGCAGGCTTTCTTTGTCTGCTCCGACCATATCCAGATGTTAAGCTCTCCTAATTGCCAGCTGACTGCCCTATTGGCTTCAACAATGCTCTTTGAAATAAGCTGCTCCACACACCAAACCAATCAAATGTTGATTTCTGAAGATCAACATTTGAGATTTGTTCTGATCCCAGGACAACTTTACCAGTCTTTTCCCTTGGTTATCTCTGGTAAACTAGATAGCCTTTGGTGTAGCATTTACAGCTGGCTCTTCCTGTTCACAGGTTCTGCACCTGTTAATTCTACCAACTACAAATCAAAAATATTTGGAAAAATTGTATCTCTACTGAACATACACAAATACTGTTTTCTTATCATTATTCCGTAAACAATACAATATAACAACAATTTACATGGCATATACATCATATTAGCTATTATAAGTAATCTAGAGATAAGTTAAAGATGAGGATGTATGTAGGTTATATGCAAATGCTATATCATTTTATACAAGGAACTTGAGCCTTTGCAGGTTTTGATTTCAGAAGGGGCTCCTGGGATTGTCCATGGAGAGCAAGGGACAATTGTATTACTAATGAATCTACTGGTTTCCTTGCTTGTTTTCTTGGTGACCTCCCTTGGTTTGAAGAGCACCAGTAGACTTGAAACTCCTTACACCCTTTTGTAAATAAAGTCAATTCCTTTGAGAAGATCTCTAGCTTGCCTCTTATTCTGGAAAAAGCCTCTGAGCCATGGTTCTGGAAATGACATTTCTGCCTTAGAAGCTAGAGCTTGGCAAGGGAGATAGTGACTTTGTATCTTTTCAGTTTTTTTTATCCATGTATGGAATCTCTGCTTTGTGCATGGAGATAGGCTGGGGGCAATCTGGGCCCCAGTATTCTCAGTATGTCCCTCTCAAAATAGAGCCCCATAAGTTGGGGCCAGGTGGAAGAACAAAGCCCTCATCTCTTAGATGTCTCCTTTCAGAACTTAGCCTCTACCATAGGTTGCTAGAGGCAGGATAAGAAATGCTGGCATCTTGCCCTTTCCCAAGGGAATACTTCTGCCCTTTAACATATGATAGAGGGAGAGTGGGCTCTGTGTTCTTGGCTACAGCTTCCTGGAGTAGAGTTTCCATTACAGTGGAAGGAGACAAAGTTGGTCATGGTTCAAATGCCATAGATTCTTGCTGTTCTCATGGAGTTTTAGTGAATGAATGTTTCTTCATTTGCTGCTTACCTTTAGGACCATTTTAAATAGTTGATTTCTAAAAATTTTTTACTAATACCACTGTAAAGTGATCCCTCGATATCACTTTTTATTTTTGCCAAAACTGAAATGCCTATTCTCTTAAGTCTTCAGTTTTTTTTAACTGAAGCTCTACTTACTGAAAGATTCAAATTCATTTTCAATAACTATTGTGGAATAAACTGTGCTCCACTTCAGTCAAATGCTGAAGTCCAAACAGTACCTTAGGTCTTGACTATTTGAGATAGGGCCTTTAAACAAGTGATTAAGTTAAATGAGGTCATTAACATGAGCCTTAGCTGGGCACAGTGATGCACACCTATAATCCCAGTGACTTAGGATGCTGAGGCAGGAGGATCATGAGTTCAAAACCAGCCTCAGCAAAAGTGAGGCACTAAGCAACTCAGTGAGACCCTGTCTCTAAATAAAATACAAAATAGGCCTGGGGATGTGACTCAGTGGTTCATTGTGGCCCCTGAGTTCAATCCTGGTACCCCCCCCCCAAACACACACACTAAAAAACAAACAAAAAAAAAACATGAGTTGTGTGTTTTTAAGAAAAGGAAGAGACACACAGGGATGTGTCTGCACAGAGAAAAGGCCATATGAGGACATGAGGAAAGGTGGCCATCTACAAGTCTAGGAGAGACTCTTCTGGAGAGCCCAAACATGCCAATATCTTGATCTTGGACTTCTAACTTCTGGGATTGGGGGAAAATAAATTTCAGTTTTTTAAGCCTCCCAGTCTCTGGTATTCTGTCATGTCAGCATGAGGAAAATAATGCAACACTGTGATATTACTTTTTTGCATTAATGTGTTTCTCCAAGACTAGGCCAATACCATCCCACTCTTCCTCATTATCCCAAAAAGCAAAACAAAACTAAGACAAGTCCTGGCATTACCCCTTAAACCTCAGTGAGCTTTGAAGTCATAAAAGGTATTTCTTCTTTCAGGGGCGTGTGTGTGTGTGTGTAGTAATCCTCAAAATTAGCTCACTTTTCTGCAAATTTGGTTGTGCTATTAAGATTGTGGAGGGTTCAAAACACTAATAATGGAATCATCATATGACCCAGCTATACCATTCCCTGGTATTTATCCTAAACAATTTAAGTCAGCATACTGTGTGACACATGCAGAATAATTCACAATAGCCAAACTAGGGAACCAGCCCTTGGTGTCCATTAACAGATGCATGGATAAAGTACACATACCCAGTGGAGTTTTATTCAATCATAAAAGAGAATGAAATTATGTCATTTTCAGGAAAATGGATGGAACTTGAGACCATTATTTTAAGTCAAATAAGCCAAACTCAGAAAGTCTAGTGCCATGTTATTTCTTATTTGTGGAAGCTAGAAAGGAAAAAATAAAAGAAAGATGTGTGTGGGTGGGATGAAAATAGACGAGAGTTCATTAGCGTAGCAAAAAGGGAGAGGA